GTCTAAAACACTCTTCTTCAGAAGGAACTGATCATGACAGAGCAGCATTTCTACAGCATTTTCCATTTTTATGAGGAACACGAAGGCTGAGCGTGTGTGTGTGTGCATTGGGTGCATTGTCCCATCACTAGTCCTAATAACTGTTGTTTTGTTTCCTCTGATGCTGGGTCTAGGGGTGTGTACTGTCTCATAGCTGCCCTAAGTCTATCCAAAATTCTGAAGGGGTTTCATCTTTTCCCTGTCTGATGTCATATAGCATTGCCCAATTGATGGCCTTAGGTATTGCATTCTGCAGACCTATTGCTATTAATTTCCTATATTGCACCAGCCGCCCATATTGAACTGGATTATTCGGATCCCACTCTGGGTTTTGATTGGGAAATATTATATTTACTCTTTCAGGTAATAATGCAGCATGCTCCCTTCCTGTTCTCAGTACAAGTTCCTTCTCTGTTTCTGTTAATTCTGACAACATTACCTCTATGTCTTCCCAATTAATATCCTGGTTCTTTGCCAATAATTCAAACCTCCTAGCAACTTCCTCTGGATTCTTTCTGAAGTTTCTTGCTTCTTCTCTCCAGCTATTTAAATCACTTGTTGTAAATGGTATTTTTATTTGTGCTTGTTCCCCTGCAATAGGCATTATTCTTCTAAGGGGAGTTATCGTATAATTCTCTTCGTCCCTCTCTTTTGCTTCTTTCCGTGCTACAGATCTAGTGTAATATGAATAGCTGTTCTCCTCCCCAGGATCTTTTTCCTGGGTTTTGGTATCTGTTCTATTCTTTCTCTTTTCTGTTCTCTTTCCCCGTTTTCATTCCTCGCTCTCACTTTCCAAACCATTTGCCAAGTCATCCTCTACTAACCCCCTGGCATGGTTTACGCAGCTGCCTCTCCTTCTGTATTTGGATGAGACGCTGACGACGCTCAACCTGCCCCGAGACACTACTTTCTATGTCTTCTTCTCCTTGCATATCTCTCTTATCCTCTATCTGAATGACTATATTTAACTTCTGTGAGTTGTTTGCTTTTTCTCCCCGATTTGCTACATCGTTACTTTCTTCACTGTATTTTAACTCGGGGAAACCAATCTCCTTTCTGGTGCTCCCTGATCTCAGTGGGCTACTTTCATTTTCATAATTTCCAGTTTTTGGCGTACTGCTTTCTATTTCACGGATGCCTGACCATCGTGAGCTGCTTATATCTCTCGGTGTACTACAATCTCTACTCTGGCTACCTTCTAGTTTGGGCGGGCTTTTCTTTTCCCCACGACCCTCCAGCTCTAGTCGTGACAGGCTGCTTTCTTCCCTATCAGTCTCCAACCTGAGTGGACTGCTTTCTTCTCTGTAACTTCCTAAGTCTTGTGGACTATTTAGTCTCTGTGAGCCACTCTCCCTTCCACAACTTTCTGATTTTGATGGGCCACTTTTCATCCTTATCTAATTTATACAAAGGCCACCATTGTGTACAATATTTTAAGAGTGTTTTCTTACTTATGTTTCCCCCTGGAATCCCCCCTAAGTCTTTCAGTGCTTCAGGACACACCCTAAGGGGGTTTTCATGTTTATATCTTTACTTTGTTGGCTTCCCATTATTATTCTCTGAATTTATCCCTCTATTTCTAACCAGGTCTTTCTTTGTGTTAATATTTCATGCACACAATTCTCAATCGCTTTGTCCGTCTCTGGCCTGACTTCTCGCGAATGACAGGAACCACAGATTAGGACTCTCTCTTGCTTCGTAGCGATGCTGCGTCTCAGTCACTCTCAATCACACCTGCACCTTTGTAAAATCCTTTACAAGCAATAAACAGAACTTTTTCTTTATACCTTTAAATTTCAAACAACATATTAGCAAGAAATTCTTCGCATTCCAAAAACCCTTTCTCAAGAGTAATTGTTGGAAACGTTTCCGGACTTTGGTTGGAAACGTTTCCGAACCTTGGAAACAATCCTAGAGTAGTTTTTAGCCAGAAAACTCTCCACTTTTTTTCTTTTAACTCTTAAAGCACAACTTTAAACATGTTGTGAGCACACAAAACAAAACCAGTCACATAAGATACAGTTTCAGTAGAATTTTAACCAGCCTTTTTCTATACCTGGGCCTCTAACCCAGCTTTGGCGGGACTCTAACCCGCTTTCCTCTATACCTGGGCCTCTAACTCAGTAGGGATTAATGTCAGGGCATCCCCTTGGCTTTCCCCGGGCGGTGACGTCTCACCCCTCTCTTTTAACAGAGCGCTCTTAGTTTTAAAAACATATCAAATAAAATACCTCTTAATTTGAAAGCAGGAGATCTTGTCCACCGTTGCGTGTAGGTCCGAGGGGTCTGGGAGTCTCTTTACTGACAAAAGATCCGTCGGGAGGGCCCAGAGAGTCCCTGGCTCCCCGGGCCACAGCTCCGGGAGACAGAGAGGATGTCCTGCCGCAGGTCACCAATTGAAGCCGAATTTTTGCCCCAAAAAAAAGCACAGAGAGACTGCTTTAGAGACAATTTGTTTCTTTAAAGCAGGAGGTATTTTAATGCAACGCGTTGGAGAGTTCCCAGGTCGCCCTGGACAAAGAACTCTGTCGTGTACAATCAGCATAGCCTTTTATACAGTATGGAGTATAAAATTACATCATAAAACATGCATATTCATTACATTGCAACATCTACTTGTAATATTCATATATAGGCGGAGTCTTCAATTTGGGGAGGTTTAGAGGTGGGAGTTCCTGTAGCCTTCATCATGGGCAGTGGTCGTTTGGAGGTCTTCGTCATTGTAAACTTTTGAACTGTCCTGAAATCTTTCCCTAATTTGGATAGTTGGCAAGTGTGGTAGGGTCAGGTTGACTTTTTGGCTCATCCTAAGATTTCCTGATGTTGCTATCTCTTTACTTTATGCTTTGAATGTTCTATCTTGTCAACATGTTCTGTTCCTTAGAGAATTTATTACTTCCGTGGTTTCCTGATACTAAGGTTTTGGAACTATTTCCACAGTTTTTGTGTTTAACCTTTTGTTTCTCAAAGACTGCCTCAAAGACTGCTTCATTTGAGGGACTTCAGTGCACATGTGCAAATGGATGTGCACACTCATGTATATATTGAACTACTTATCTCAGAATTCACCCAATGGGGCTCCAGCTCAGGACATGCTCATGGACTCAGAGAGTGAGGGATCCGCAGCTCTATCACAGCAAGGAGCCTGGGCTGTAGCACATCTTGACTCTTCTGTTTTAGGTGTATTCCTATTGCAGCTGGTAAGTAATTTTAAAAAAAATTCTTTGTTCCTTTGTGGTAAATTTTATCTAAAACATGTAGCAGATTTCTTCATAAACCTTAGAATGTGTTGTTCTCCATGAGGAGAAATACAAACAAATGATTAGGCACTCCAAAGAGATTGTGGCAATATCCGCTTTGGAGATTTCCAAAATTCACCTTGTATGTGGTCCTGAGCAGCCCGAGCTAGCTCTGCTTTAAGCACTTCCAGAGAACTTTCTGACCTAAAGCTTTGCAGGATTACATGATTGTGTGCTTGTTGTCCATCAAGAGCAAGGCCTCTGAGTCCTCAAACCTCTACTCCGGATTATTTTCAGTGTTCAACTCACCAAGCCTACTGTCTCTGCTCAACTTGTCCAAATCCTTCTTTCAAATCCTTCTCATATTATTTATAGGGGATTTATTCAGTCTGTGAGATATCAATAATTTCTAATTATATCTGGTCACATCACCTGACAGTTTTCCCTTCAGTTCACTTTGCCAAACAATGCTTTGCCAGGAACAAAGTTTGCCAAAAATGTTATGACTGAAGAAAGAAAGGGTATCTGCCATGGGGAGGCAAGTATAAAATGCCTTGAGACAAGACAGCTCTGCCTTTAAAGAAAATTTCAAGGTAAGTGTGGGATGCCTTGTCCAGCAAAGAGGGTATGGAGCCTTGCACTGTCTGCAGTCCTGCTCCTTCAGGCCCTCGTTTTCAGGGGATATATTTCTCAGCTCATATTTTAAATGTGCTTTCAAAGCAACTGTAAATATTCATTCTGCAACTTCACTCTGAATTTCTTCACAGCAATAAGAAAGGAAATTATTTTCCATTTTTCAGTGCTACCAGTCTATGAGTCACCAAGTCTGCAAGTAATTAGTCCTATCCAACAACAGGTAAGACACTTTTCCCCATTCCTTGTATATAATAAGGATGTATAAAAGACTTGGTCTTGTGTAACAGTTCTTTTTTGAAATACATATTTGCTGGAGGGAGGCAGGAGGAGAGAGGGAAATTAGGCTTGAAGTTCATTTGCCATCCAAAGAATGTGTCTAGAAAGTACCATGTAGTGACAGGTACGAAAACTAACACGTGTCTTGGAAGCAGGATGTCTGTATCAGTTCATGCTGCCCTTTTGCTCATAAGTCCTGCTCTCCTGTAACTTGGGTGGAGAGAAGCCCACTGATGCAGTTAAGCTGTTTCCAGTACTAGATTCTGCAGAGCTGACAGTGGCCATTCTGTGCACAGAGCACTATAAAGTGCCTGGTGCTTTTTAACACACTGTGAACATATCACAGGTCAGGTAAGGTAGAATTTCTTTCTTGCTGACAAGCTGTTTTCTGTCTATGTTATGTAAAATCCAATTAGGATTCCACTGACCTGGACTTAAACTCACTACCAGATGATGCCTCATATTTAATTGTGAGACAAAGCATAGTACGGTTATTTTTTTCCCTAAATCTTTGACTTGCAGTATCCAAAGTGATCAGGTTACATCACGCACCCCACAGGATCAGACTAACAGGGCTGTGGTACAGCAATTTCAAGGCATTTCAAGCAGGCAGGGCACAACCAGCTCCCACTTCTCGTAGGTGAGCGTGCTTTTTAAAGCTAGTAATGGTTTCCAGAAAAACAAAAGCCGTTACTGCTTACACTAGGAGTGTGTGTGCTCAGACAGTCCCCTCGAAGAAGGATGCAGCCACCCAGGTCTCTGGGTGTGCTGAGTGTCTGAGCCTGACGTTGGTACCGGAGGATGGTGTAGGAGGTAGCTGTGTACGATGCTCCTCCAAATGCTAATCAGCAGAACCAGTCGATCCTGATCACGTACGTACACCCCCTGCTCGGGTCCCTGCGGGGCTGCCCAGGGCCAGGGCCCCTCCTGCCTGACCACACGCTCTCTGCTTCTCTCCTTGCTCTGCCAGCGGAGAATCCGGGGCCGGGAAGACTGTGAACACAAAGCGTGTCATCCAGTACTTTGCAACAATTGCAGCCAGCGGGGACAAGAAGAAGGAGGAGCAGTCGTCAGGCAAAATGCAGGTAAACTAATAGACACATGCTGACATCAATGCTTTCCTCTGTTCCTGACAAGGTTTCTGGAAAGGATAACCATCAGTAATTTCCCCCCTGCAGGGAACGCTTGAGGATCAAATCATCAGCGCCAACCCACTGCTGGAGGCCTTTGGAAACGCCAAGACCGTGAGGAACGACAACTCCTCACGCTTTGTGAGTTTTCAGTCAAAGCCACTTTTGCTTTCCCAGCAGGAAGAAGTGTATTGTTATTGATTGCTTCATGGAATTAAACAATAAGAAATTATATTCATGTTTCCTCAAAGATTTACTTGTTTTATATCTGTGCATTGAAACAAAAGATGGAATAATAGATAAAAAATGACAGAAATAAAACTTAAAAGCTAAACTAAGTATACATTCAATAAAAACATTCTGAAACTGGTAGAATGATACATACATCTTTTTTTCATAGTATAATATGTTTCCTTTTAGTCCAGCCCTCAACAGGACTTACTTCAGATCCAAATCAGATTGTTGCAGGTCTGATACAGGCAAGTTTTGAAAATCTCCAAGACTAGAGATTCCACAGCCTGTGTGTACCTCTCCTAAAACCACAGTGCACTTATAATAAAACTACCAGAGTTCACTACCAGATGTAATCAGAATTTATCTTGCTGCCATGTGTGATGGTACCATTTGTGCTTTCATAGTAAACCTCTGAGAAAAGTATCTCCCTTTCAGAAGTAGAGCTTCCTTCCCTTCTCCCACCTTGGTCTACTTATGCTCATAACTGTCATCTCTTTTTGTTTGTTTTTTTCCTCTCTTAAGGGTAAATTCATTCACTTTGGGGCTACAGGCAAACTGGCTTCTGCTGACATTGAAACTTGTAAGAGACCTTCTGATCTGATCCCATTCCTTCCTCCCCTTCTACCTCAGTGTTCCTTTTCAGGCCTAACTCTGTCCTACCATCCTTGCCAGATCTGCTGGAGAAGTCCAGAGTCACTTTCCAGCTCAAGGCAGAAAGAAGCTACCACATCTTCTATCAGATCATGTCCAACAAGAAGCCAGAGCTAATTGGTAGGAAGTATTATGAAGTGGTTGATAAAATCTGAATGTGTTCAACATTCATCTCCATTCTCACATCCTATTCATCTTTACAGACATGCTCCTCATCACCACCAACCCATATGACTATCAGTTTGTGAGTCAAGGTGAGATCACTGTTGCCAGCATTGACGACCAGGAGGAGCTGATGGCAACAGATGTGAGTGTCACAGAGCACATTGGTGTGGTAAAAGTTCCTTTTAATGGCCCAGAGGTTTATTTGTTTGATTCTGTTGCCAGAGTGCCATTGACATCCTGGACTTCAGTGCTGATGAGAGAACAGCCATCTACAAGCTGACAGGGGCAGTCATGCACTATGGGAACCCAAAGCTGCAGAAGCAGCGTGAGGAGCAGGCAGAGCCTGATGGCACTGAAGGTATTAGGATAATTTGTTAGTGGCGTCTCTGTACTATCATGAAATTATGTATTATAGTAGTGACAGAATATGTAGAAAAGATGTTTTTAGAAAATTACAAGATTTTTTTCTTCTAACAAGAATTTTTCATTTTTTTTTTAAGAAACTGTGTTCATCATTCCAGGGACAAAAAGATTGCTTAAATGTCTTCTTCTCATTATCTTTAAGCCTGAATTCCAAATTTTTAGATTTGTTAGCTCTGAAATCTTCTCCATTGTTTCATTGCACTGTGTGTTTTCCACTTCTGGGGAATGACATTGAGACAGGCAGACATGTTTTATCAAAACCTGACTTCAAAGATAGTTTTAGGATTTTGTGCTTTTCAGTCACTCCTGTAACTGAAATGCTGTGATTGATAGCTAGTTATGGGCTCCTCAGGAGTGAGGGGCAGGACAGGCAAGGCAGAGAGACAGCACTGTACGTGAAGGAGGGTTTGGACTGTACAGCACACAATCAAAAGCCTCTGTGTAAGGATTAGGGAAAAGCAGATGTTGTGGAAGTCTGCTATAGATCACCTGGCCAGGATGATACCACTGGTGTAATTCCATTCTACATGGAATTCAGGGAAATCTCTAGATCTGATGCCCTTGTCTTTATGGGTGACTTCAGCTTCCTAGATGTTAGCTGGGGCTATCCCACAACAAACATTAAGAGGTTCAGAAGATTGTTGAAACACATTGAAGGTAGTTTCTTAATATACATACTAAGTAAGCCAACTAGGAAAGGTGTCTCCTGGATCTGTTGCTTGTAAATTGAGTGTAGGTAATGTGATGATTGGTGCCTTTCTTGGCCACAGTGTTCATGAAAAGACTGAATTTAAAATCTTCGGTGATATGAGAAAAACTGTCAGTGGTGCTACTACTCTGGATTTTGGGAAAGCAAGCTTTAGGATGCTCAAGGAACTATTTAGTAAGGTTCCCTGGAAATCTGTTTTCAAGAGTATTGAGACCAATAAATACTAGTCATTTTTTAAAAGATGTCTTGTAAGAGCAGAAGATTAGGCAATTTCAATATATCTGTCTTGTCAGAAGTCAATCAATCAGGGCAGAAGGTGACTTGACTGAAATGGACCTCTTTCTGGAATTTAGGAAGAAGAAGAAAGGTCAGGCTACATAGAATTTCAGAGATGCTGTTCACCACTGCAGGGAGAAAATTCATACAAACTTTAGTTGAAGCTGGCCAGTGCTCTACCGGATAACAACAAAAATAGCTTTTAAAAGTGTTTTATGAGACTCCAGGAACCCAGAGCTGCAGGACCACAACTTGGGGAGGGATTCCCAGGCTAGAGGTGGGGGAAATGGAAGTTTCAGCCTTTTTATCTTCCCGGCTCTCTCTCCCCACACAGGAGGAGCTCTCCAATGCCAGTCTCATCAAGTTCCGCCAGGTCCATCTTGAGCTGGAGGAAGCCGAGGAACGGGCTGACATTGCAGAGTCCCAGGTCAACAAGCTCTGAGTGAAGAGCTGGGAGATTTATAGGAAAAAATGAGGAGAAGAATGAGGATCTAGACAGCTGAAAAGGGAGTTAGGAATGCTCAGAATGTGAAGCTCCCTCACTGGTTTCCAAAACTGCAGTTTGTTCCTTTAGAAATTTGTAGATAATAAAGATTTTAGAGATCTTGGCATAACAAGTGTTTCAAGTTACTTCTCTTTTTTATTCTGCACTCTCAGTAATATTTTCTAAATCCTTAACTTTCTCTGTTATCTCTTGTATACTTGCATTATTATCTACCCTTATATATAATAATGGAAAATTATGAAATATATAGGTACATAGATATGTTTTTATATATTCTATTCTATACACATTCATATATATACTCCATATAATACAATACATGGCTGAAAATGGATAGTAGGGATAATGAAACATCAAATGAGGTAGTTATTTTTGACACTGAGTGTATAAAAGTGCCTTGCCATGTCTTAATCAGGTTTTCTGCAGTATGGTTTTTATGCTGACCTAATTTCTCAATTTCATTCAGGGCCACAATAAGTAATATGATACTGAAATTCAGGGGAAGAATTTTTGGGGGTTTGAAGTTTTTCATTTTGTTGAAGATTTCCTCAGTGGTAGGAAGGTGGGGTTTAATTAGATTATTTTGATTTCATTGTATTTATATCAAGCTAAGCAATGAAGATTAAAGTTTTCTGTGCTAGTAATCTAACAAAGGATGTTTTATAGAAATAGTAACAGCCTTTTCTGATATCAGCTGACATATCTAGGAAACATGAATATCATATACTGAACAGCCTTACCTTAGCCTGGCTTCAGCATCCTGAAGAAAGCTTTATGATCTATGTTGGACCTCAGCTTTAAATCCAGACCTTTGTTTTATTCCACTGAGGATCTTCAAAGCAAAGATTAATGCACACCTGTTTGTTGCTGAGAAAATCATCCTTTAGCAGAAAGCAATTCACACCCAGTTAGCATTGAGTTAAGGCAGGATAAGTGGGAAAAAGCACACTGAAACCCTCTGAGACAGAGGAAATGGCAGCTACATCGACTTTGGCAGGTAAACCTCTGTAAGCTGGTTACAAAGGGATGTCTGTCTTTACAATGAGTGTTTTTCTGTATGTGTGTGATAGATTAATCAACCGTATTCCAGACCCGTTGAGACAGTTTTACAGTGTGACCAGATAGTGGGATACTAATAAATGTCATTTACAATAGTCCATGGTTTGACCAAAGCAAGTGGACAGTTAAATGACACTCTGTGTGTTTACATGGGGGCTAAAGGAGGTGTGTTGATTATAAGGTTTAATTTATGTATGCATGATTTGGACTTCCACTGAGATAATCTGCCCACATAGCTCCTTAAGTAGAGAATACTTATCAGGTGTATTTTTCAGTCAGGAAACAAAATAATTTTGCTACCTTAGTTACTTACAGTTGTAGAATAAAGGGGATTTGAGAACGGGATCTAGTGGAACTGAGAGCAGGATCTGGAGGTATGTGTGCTCTTTGCCTTCCCTGCGTTTCCCCTGGAGCTGGGGCTGCTTTAGTGTCCGTGGCAGCTCTCTCAGGCAGACCAGCACATCGTGTTTGGCAGCACTGACACTGTGGAGGAGTGTGAGAATGAATGTTTCTGCATCTATCTCCTGGCAGCAGGGCACCATCCATCAGTGCCACTAAGGAGCAGTTTTCATTCCACCAGCCAGACTGTGCTGGTTTTAGAATAATGACCTTGGGTCAAATAGCTTTTGGCCTTTTCTACCTTCTCAAAGTCAGCACTGGGAAGTTTGATAGTATATAGCAATTGGCTAAAGCAGTATTTCCTTTGAGGATCTGAAGTTGCCTCCTATCGAAATTCTGGAGTATACTTTCCTCATATCACTGGGTTTTGTGGTTAAAGAAAAAAGTAAAATATTGCACAGAGAACAGGAGGCTGGGGTAAAGGACTTTCATTTGCAGATGTCAAATGAGACAAAAGCAGAGCACAGTAAAACGTCAATTTTTCCATAATTTCTTCTTCAATATCAACTGATACTGATGTTGTAATGACTCTCTCATTGGCTGTTGCAATTTATTAAGAGTGGGCTACAAAATGTGGCAGATTATTTGATCAGACATCCTTGTCTCAAGATTTCTCTGCTTTGACTGTGCAAGAAGGCCGAGATGACAGACTCAGAAATGTGAATTTTAGATACTGGAAGTTCAAAGAGGATCCAATCCCTAATCTCTTCCAGGGAGGAGGAATTTTGGAACCCAATAATTTACCGAGACCTGAGTTCATTGACTTTGAAAGGTGGTTTCTCAGAAGAGCTGATGGCTACAAAACTAGTCTGTTGAATAACATTTCATTTTGCTTCAATACATAAAGTACAGAAAAAGACATGCCAGTATTTTGATAGGTTTCAAGAATGTTTTAAAGGAACCAAAATCTGGAGAAACTAAAGCCAAGAATTCAGTTATTGAACACATAGTAAAATGTCCATCCGAGGTTTTTGGAGGCACCAGGAAGGACATAGTTATTCTCACTGTAGTATTAGTATTCACTCTCAGGTGATTTGTGTTATTAACATAAGACAAATGGGTCAGTGGTGAATTGGCCACCTGTTTGAGGGAATGTCTGGCATGAGAGATTCTGCCCATGGAGCTGAACCAACAGGGATCGAAAACTGTGCAGGGAAATGCAGAGGCCAATTGCCTTCCCACCAATGGACAGGGCTTAAGGTAGGTGCAAAGACTCCTGTTTGAGCTCCTGTGACATCCAGCTACTTCCTCCTGGCATCTTCAGCAATCTGGCATTCTGGGGAAAGGGTACATTTCCAAGTGGCTCAACCCCTCACTGCTCCAGAGCAGTTATGTCCAGTTAGGAGAAAGTGGCAGCTAAAATTAGAGCTAAATCCAGAATTAGCTGTTAGAAAGCATTCTTGCAAGCTGTTCTCTGTTCAGGCCTGTTCTTTGAGAGCTCTCACCCCCATTGTCACCCAGAAGCTGGTCCTTCAGCTTTTCTCCACACACAGATTCCTTCCTGCTCTTTCACAGGAGACTTTTACAGGCCCACAAGGTTTGTTTGTCTGCTGAACTCTACATTCAGACTCTTCAAGATTGTCCTCAGTCCTCTGGGGTTTTTTGTATGCTCTTTGTATGCCTTTATTTGTATGCCCTTCCTAAATCAGTATCTATCCTGAGTAAGAATTTGGTGATGGCAGAGAATAATCTTTCCTCCATAAACATGCCAACTTGTGCCAAAAATCTTTGGGTTCCCAGTGGGGTCTTGCCTGGATATGTCTCTCTGTGGCAGGAGCATGAGAACACATTACATAGGTTTATGCATCACTTTTTGTTCAAGACTGAAATGAAGAAGAATTGTCAGATGACAATGGCTTGGGTACTTTGCCAGCTGCTTTGTTCTATTGATTATGTTTGTAATCCAATTCTGAAACTATTAGCATGAGTAACTGTGTAACTATAGAGGTAAAATTCGTTAAAAGAAACTTCTTAAAGGAACACAAAGCTACTGGACAGTCTGAAAATGCTCAGCTTTGTTTTGCATCTTCTGAAACGAAATTAAACACTCCAGAAGGTTTGCCAAAGCCTAGAGACATTAGTGTATACACCTGTTTCTGTCAAATATGGGATTGAATTTCTTCTGTGATTTACTAACTTGTCATGACTAATGGACTGCTGCACAAACTCCTGCTACAGAGCATGAACTGTGCTATTAAGCACTGCTGTTTATAGGAAGTCCTTCTCTGGTGGGCTCCTCTGCGTACACTTTGAATGTACCAATTTTAGAACTCCTTTTCTCCAGAGTCTTTTTCTTTCCTTTCATTTCCTGTTTGATCGAGATGGACCATTTTAACTCTTCTAATATCTTCTAATTATGCAAAGGGTAGAGATAATGTTTAGGAGCACATGTGTGTTCAAGGGCAATGGCTGGGACACTTAGCTGGGGCAGAGAATCCCATGGCCAAAGGAAGAACTGTGTACAGGAAAACATGGCAGGGACTTAATGTTTTCCTGTGGATTGTTGCTGAGAGTTACAACAATTTCCAGTGTCACAGAGTGGACAAAGGTTTGTCCCACTGTGTACATCAAAGTGGGACCTTGCAAATGGGTAAGGTCTGCTGTGCTGGGAAACCAGCTTGTTTGTGATTACTCTGTTGGTGTATTGATTATTACAGAACTATTATCTCCATGTTAGCATCAATGACAACAGCAAAAAAATTCCTGAAAAGATATTTTTGTTAGAACGTTGAAATAGTCTGACTCCATGGAACTTTGAAGAACAGTTTAAATACTTACTCAAGCAGACAGAGAGTGCAATGCTGTGATTTGTGTGCTGGACTGTTGGATGCATGATAGCCAGTAATTTACACTTGCAGCTAAAAGATATGGGATCCAGCTTGCATGAGTCTGGGAGCTGGTTATCAAACATCCTCTCTTGAGGATAATGTCCTGTAAGGGTGTCAGTGCCTGTCAAATAAGGCATGAGGAGGCTGTCCTTCCAGCAACATAGAACACCCTCACAAAGTGTCAGATTGATCTAGGTACTAAACCCTCTAGGTCTTAAACCCTTCAGATAAAAATCTAGCTTTAAATGTTTATATCAGTCTTTCTGCAGGAAAACTGAATTGTGCAAGGGTGTGCAGCCCCCAGCATAACAGCAGAAGCAGACATACAGTTTTGCCTTCCTGAATCCAGCAGCTGATAGTTTAAAATCTCTAGAAAAACAGTTTGTCACACTTTTGTAGTCCCTCACAGGTGATTTGTAATAATGTTCTTTCTGTGTTGATTTTCTTGTTGGAGGAAAAGTTTTACAGAAAAACAGTGTTATGCCCCAGTGGTCAAAACAAATACCCACATTCTTTAACACCTTCTTTAACATTCTAGATGCTGAAACCGAGTGAGCCTCAGCAAATTTATGGATGATGCAGAACTAGGAGGTGTGGTTGGTGTACAACAGGGCTGTGTTGCTATTCAGGGGGATCTTGACAAGCTGGAGA